GATTACCTTTTGAGTTGTGATATCAGAACTCTTAATCCCAAGATGTCTGATTGTACTTGATATTTTATTTTCTTGTTTCCAAAGTTTGAAAGAGTAGAAGCTTTTCTGTATTTATTCCCCCAATCACTGAAGGATGTTGTGCTCAGTGTCCTTGTCTCCACCTACATCACTTAGTTCTCATTCCTTACAAGCCGATGCCAACACTAGATAGGTATACCAAAACATCTTTGTAGCTTTTAATGACTTCAGTTATGATAACAGTTTCCCCAAGAACAAATATAGAACCTCTGTGTGAAATGGACCATACTAAATAGTTCTGTATGTTAGTTGTCAAAGCTGGGGAAACAGGTGATTTGTTCCAAAAATTATTTAGATAAGTGTGATTGTTTATTCATAGGAGATAGGTCACTGATTACAGCTATAATCTGCCTAATAATGATTTCTTAATAACATAAAATATATTTCCCTCATTAAATTTGCTATATGAAGTTTGGAGGTCATTAGAATCCCTGTTACATAAACATAAGTTGGAGACCATAATCTGATACATTTACATAAACTCTAAGAGCTTAAAAGATTTATAGTGGAATTGATTGCATATGAATGAAGTGTAATATAGATGAAAGAGCATAGAGACATTATCATAGAAGACATAAATAATATGTGCTCATAGCTACTCAAGGCAGTCCTGAGTTCATTTTTGTAGATAATTTTTGCATGTGTTTTAGAATGAAATGTGTAAGTCATGTTAGCAGGCAGGCATTCTTGATGTTGAGTCACTTTTTTAGTGAGAATGTATTGAGCCTTATACATGGGTGATATCAGCAAACATGAATGGATACGACCTGTTCTTAGTTATTATTCCTGGACTGGTATGGTATTCAAATATCCATTTTACTGAAGCTGCTCCTATGTATTAACTGCAAAGTCCTGGAGGATCAGAAGAGAAGAGCTGACTTTTCCTTTAGTGACGACTAGAGGGAGAGAATTGAATCGCATAGCATAAGAAATACATTGTAAAGAATGATACTTGGTTTATGAGTGAGGGGTTTACATGACTGATAAGATTAAGGGAAATATCAGATCTTAGGGACTCCAGATAGATGAACATAGGCTATTATCTAAACGTAACACTGTACCTTGTTAATATGTACAATTAGTACTTATCAAGTAAAATCAGAAAATTTAAACCACAAAACTATCAATGAAAATTTACACTTATCAAATGGAAAAGTGAAAAGAACTTCTATAATAAAGCAGTTCTGACTGGAAATTCATGAGAACACAGAGGAAGTTTAAGGGTGTTAACCTACATATTTTGGGAAGTTGACAATTAATAATTAATTGTAGAATTATCTTTCATATATGGGTTGATGTGTAAATAATGAAGTATCGGAGTGAGAAGTTGACTAGGAAAGAAGACCTGAAATAAGGAGATGATGTAAGGATCTGAGTCTTGGTTACTGAGAGGTTCCCACTGTAGGATGGTGGGGAAATTGTGCAGAGGTAGAAACATTTTCATCAAGCACAAAATGAATTATGGAAAATCCAAAAAGTTTATATCACCCGGAATAGTTTGCAAACATTTAACTGTTTACATTTTATATACTTTCTGTTTATGTCCTATACTTTCTGTTTATGTCCATCAACTCCACTTTCAAGTTTCTTTTTGTAATTTTTATTTAATTTTATTGGGATATATTCATTGTATGTAGTGTGGAGTTCTATAAAGAAAATTTCTTTCAAGTATACCACGTACCTTGACGAAATTTAGTCTCTCTTTCATACCTATTTACCCTGCCTTTAGTCTCTTTTCTACCCCATCTCTCTTCTGCATCCTATCATCCATTGATCTTTCTCTCTCTCTATCTCTCTGTCTATCATCTATCTATCTATCATCATTATCTATCATCTAATCTATCTATCTATCCACCATTTATCTGTCATCTATCATCTATCTATCTATCATCTTCTATCTATCATCTATCTATCATCTATCTATCATCTATCATCTATCATTGATCTATCTATCATCTATCTGCCATCTATCTATCGTCTATGTATTTTCTATCATCTTTCATCTATCTATCATGTATCATCTATCTACATCATGTATCATCTCTCTATCATCTATCTTCTATCATCTATCTATCTTCTATCTATCATCTACCTTCTGTCATCTATCTTCTATCTACCTATCATCTATCTATCACCTATCTATCATCTAGCTATCTC